CCCCCACACACACACACAACCTTTTCCTCGTGGGACTGAGCTAGCTACACATTAATGAAAGAACAGACTGGAACAGCTATGCGAGCTATGTGGGGAGAAGAGAATCTTGTGAGAGGGGGGTGGCATTAAGAGCTTAAGATAACGCGGGATGAGAAAAGCAATTTATGTCATGATCAAAGCAAGGTCAGCTAAAAACCATGGCCGGGAACTTAGCGGCCAACCGAATTCGGGACTATTGGCATAAATAGTTGGTCAAGAAGACTTTTTATAGTATACATTGTTCTGCAGGTGTGTGTGTGGGGTTTTTTTTTTTTGGGGGGGGGGGGGGGGGGGGGGTCCGTAAGTGCAAGCCTGGCGAGACTGCGCTTTCATATAATGGCTTATTGGTGCTGCTATAATATAGTGCATTGGGGCATGTTTACATTTCGCATTCTTCTGACCCCCTGTGACTTTCAAGCGCATCTAACCCCAACATTCCACAGATCACACGAATGTCTCACTGAAGACGATCGCGGTGCGTATGTTAAACAGACGCTGCGCTGCGCTTAAAACTCTCAATAGGGTTTTTAGAATTGATTACCCTGACTTTATTATTATTATTGTTATTATGCAATAACGTAATTATATAAACAACCTACCTATCATTTCTGATGACCCGGAAGTCCGAGTGCACGAAGCTTCTCTCGATGACGATTGGGTTCTCTATGGACTTCTGCGGAAAGATGTCCACGCCCACCTGTGACGTAAACATGTCGAACGTACGGCCCAGCAACATCGGAATGATGTAGGGCAGCACAACCACGCCTACTGTCATGACGATGGGCGGATCTGTGGACGCGAGTGGGGACTGACAGAATATTGTACATGGGCACATAATATTAAGAGGTGGTATAACAAACCCTTTTTAAGACCAAGTGCATCTTACTGACAATTTCGTCAAATCTCCATTTGATATGGGTTGCTGCATTTGAGGACAACAATGTTGGTCTTCATGAAGGGGCAAAAGCTATCATTGTGGAATAATTTGATCAAATTCTTCAAAATTATACTTTATAGAAAACGTAAAAGCGCACGATTTGATACGGTTCATGAAAACAGCCAATGAGAAAGCTACTGATCATTGAGGGGTAAAATATATTTGGTTTGTGCGTGGGACACAAAAGACTGGCGTCTGTGGAGAATCAGTTAGGTGCCTGGTTGTCGCGCGCAGGAGACCCGAGATCTAGAGTCTATTTTCGAATGGAGGAACATTTTTCATTCTGCCAAGATGTTGTTTCCGCCTCACTCCGGGTTGGCCTGATAGGCAGAGTCTGAAGATAGACTCCTAAGAGATTTAAACTGCGTCGATGGGGGTGTAAAAATGCCTACATTAAAAAAAAAAACAACAACAGCATATACCCTTGGGGACTTACGGTTCAAGTTTGATGAAGCAAAACAGACGTCAATTGAGTTCTCTGTCCAGACACACCCCTTAAATGTATCACCTTCTCCTCCTTCACCTATACCGTAGTCTGGCTAGCCAATGGGGTATCTACTACTGTAAATACTACTACCAGCTTCTTACACTCCTCGTATTTCTCGGATTTCTATAGTATGATGTTCCAGTCCCGGCTAGTCTACTCTTTGAAGTTTTGGTGTTGTTTTTCTTATTATTTCCTCAGACTGCCTTTCTCTCTCTCCCCCCCCCCCCCTCTTTCTGTTGTTCTCTGTAGGATAGTCTTGGCCAGTCCAGATGTTCATTTGACGTACCAGGACCACTTCAGTTTGCGTCATTTCACTGATACCTAGAGGTCTCCATACAGCCCGATGGCTTTTCTAATTCTGGCTCTCACTACCTCATTTGTACATGTATAATTACTATATTATCTCTTTACGAAATACCGAAAATATTTTGGAAACGTCTCATCTCCAGTGCCTGAATCCTCATTTCGATGTCTGCTGTTATAGTCCACGTCTGGAATTCACATAAAGCTATGGACATGACCAGGGGGCTTGACATCCGAAAAACTATCAAAGTTACAAGTACTCCAAAATCAAGCAGCAAAATTGATAATGAAACAAAAGAAATCAGCCCACGTAACACCAATTCTGAAAGAACTACACTGGCTGCCAATAAAAGAAAGGAATAAATACAAAACTGCCGTTCTCTGTTTTAAATGTATAAATGATAGTGCACGTTTTTATCTTAAAACATTCCTGGAATTATATAATCCACCTAGAGCCCTTAGATCAGCCTCTGACAATCTAATTCTTAAAACTCCAAAACAAAACTACACAACATACGGCGAGCGTTCCTTTTTGTTCTTTGGTCCCCAGGTATGGAACGAAATCCCACATAAAATAAGATCTGCCCCAACAATTTCCTTTTTCAAAAATCAGCTGAAGCATTTTTTATTCACAAAAGCATACCTGTCATAATGATGTACTGTGATATATATATATATATGCATGTGTATGCCAGACTATGAGACTGGAGAAATAGCGAGTGAGAATGAGAGAGAGAAAAAGAGAGAGATAGAGAGAGAAAAGAGAGAGAAAAGAGAGAGATAGCGAGAGAGGGAGAGAGAAAGAGAGAGAGAGATAGAGGGAGAGGGAGAGAGAGAGAGGGAGAGAGAGCGAGAGACAGACAGAGAGAGAGAGAGAGAGAGAGAGAGAGAGAGAGAGAGAGAGAGAGAGAGATAGAACGGAAATGTTTTTCTATCTGTATAGAATTAATGTTTTAATGAATGTTTCTAGTTACTCACGTTTCAACTGTATTTTGACTGTTCGTGAATTTATATTGCATTGTATATTTTTAGTGAACACATTTTCAACCTCACTGCGAGACTGTTTTTCTGGTATAAAATTTTACACATATGTATTTATATTATATGTATAATACTTTGTTTTACGTACACATTTGTGTCGATTAATTTTTAAGATGTGATGTCTTTTTCATTGTAATGCGCATTGAGCATCTTTTAGGAAATGGAAATGCGCAGTATAAATGCTATTTATTATTATTTATTATTATATTGGAGCTGCTACGTTGTTGTCGTTCCAAGTGACTTTTAGTCTGGTCACTGCAGCAGGATCTGGGCTAACCGGGAGAATACGTCATGGCAGGATCCCTCATCCGACCTTGCAGCTCGGACGTATTTAAAACCACGAGTTGTCTCAAGTTTTTTTTCTGCCTATGATAATGTCAGTGCTGATATCACTGGCATTGTTTGTCTTCAGCTTGATCTTATCTGCCCGGATCTGCATGCCATATGCCGAGGATGCCTCTTTAATTAAGGTCGTTTACCTAGTTGTTCAGTTAGGCTGTCAATGTTGTCGACCGTCTGGAATTGTCCTGCTTCCGAAGCTGGCGGTTCCATCATGGTCTTCAAGCATGTCAGCCATTATACTACTTATTTAGGAAGTTGTAGAATTGAGTGGGGGAGAGCACATAACCCTGGAGTTCTACAATAATATTGTGGTCAGAAACCGTTCTCTTGTGTTGTTATTATTGTTTCAATTTATCAAAGTATACCAAAAATGGATTTGACGAATTTTTTTGCAATGCGCATTAAATATAACAGTGTAATATCAAGAGATGCTTACCCTATACGTTTAAAAGTCTAACTTCGAGAGTCTTTAGAACTATCATTTATCGGTGCATCCTTCTCGAACAGTAGGCTAGAAATGTCTTTCCCTGTCCTTTTTGAGACGTCAGTAAAATAACCATACTTCTCGGAAAATGACGTCACACACGACTATAGACGCAGTGTATACAATCTCCAAAGATTTCAATCGAGCGTAATAATATTATAGTTAAACTGCACCCAATCCAGTTCCAGGACCGAGGATTCTGCCTCTTTAAGGTGTGTTAAGTGTTATGTACAGCTCGCGAAGACTCATAGCAAACACATCTCGTGTAACGACGACTCGTGTTGGGGGGGGGGGGGGGGGGGCGGTGGGGACATGTGGGGGTCGGGATATAAATAAAACAAAATGAAGGGTGGCAAAGGTTGGCGGTAGGGTGGTAGAAGACAGGAGAGAAAGCGATGACAAGCCATAGTAAGACGAAGACCGTAGGCCTTTTTGTGCATTTTTTCCCTTTTATTTCTGGTCATATTTTGTGTGGTAGAAGAATTCCATAAAGTTTACGAGACAAGGGGGAATACTGGGCACAACACTAGTCCAGCTGCAGGTGGCTCTTGCATCTGCCTTTTACACGCATGTCACCCCCGCACGTTTATTCTCAAATGTCTCCGTTTTTTGGAGGCGTTTTGATCTTTGCTCGCTTTCCAGGGAACGTTTTTTTTTAGATAGGGATAGCTTGAAGTGCAGTGTGTAGTGTCCTCCTCGCGTTTCCAAGCAAATTTGGAAAGATAGAGTCAAAACAAAGGGAAAAGGAAAAGGAAATGGTTGTGATTGTGAAGACGCTGCTTCATCTCAGCAGCTCAATGTAAAGAGGTGTTAGTTTGTTCCCTTTATATTTGAAGATCTGGTTCTTTGTAGAGTTTCACCTAATAATTTCTTGTTTTTAAGTTTGATGTCTTTGGTGTGGTAAGCTTACGTATTCAAAACATAAAGAAGGAGACTATGCCCAGTTTTTTAAATATTATTTTGCTCCCAATGGACAAGATCTTTTTTACTTGGCCATTCTCAGAGACTGGCACGTGAGTGTCATCTCTTTATTATTCAGTGTCAAGTACTGCGAGTTGTCGTGGAGATGCAACCTCCCCCCCCCCCTCCCACTCCTGACCCCCTTTAAACAATTTATATCAGATATATTTGCTACGACTTCTTGTGCAGTACATAACACACTTTAAAGAAGCAGAATTCTCGATTCTGGGACCGGATTGGGTGCAGTTTGACTATATTTCTCCATGACTGGAGTGCTGTCATTTCCCTCACTGCTCTAAGTGCCTTCTTGGGCATGCGTGGTGTTCCAAGGAGCAGAATAACATAGTTAACCCTTAAACCTTTTGGCTCTTAAAGATTATGATCCCCGTTTGAACAATGCAAAGAGATTTAATAAATATAAACTAAAAAGAAAAGTTTATTCGATTCACAAACAGGGTAATTTCAAACACACGTGCAAATGTATAATCTGCGAGTCAAAACAAGCAAAAACAAGGCAAATTAGATAGAAGAGCTTCTTTCTTCCTCTACACCTAAAATTTGAAATTTCCTCCGCAAAAAATGCGTATCATAACACCAGAGAGGGAGAGAGAGAGAGAGAGAGAGAGAGAGAGAGAGAGAGAGAGAGAGAGAGAGAGAGAGAGAGACAGACAGACAGACAGACAGACAGACAGACAGACAGACAGACAGACAGACAGAGAGGGGGGAGAAAGAGAGAGAGAGAGAGAGAGAGAGAGAGAGAGAGAGAGAGAGAGAGAGAGAGAGAGAGAGAGAGAAATGGAAAGACACAGGGGCAATCTAGACAATTAGACATACACGCCCATAAATATAAGTCTTCCCAGAGAAGGTGAGGGGTCGGGAATAGGAGGTTGAGGTGATGAGGGGATGAGGGGTTAGGAATGGGGGAGGGGGGAGTGGGAGGAAGAGGGATCGGGCATGAGAGGATGAGGGGATAACACACTTCCGCCTAAAAAAAAAAAACCACCAAACAAACAAAATAAAAAATTCAAGGCATAAAGAACAATGTGCTTTTACTTTACGACCACTAGTGAGTACAACTGCGCCTTGATAGACACTGAGTTTCATTTAACGCAGGAATTCACTTCTACGCATAGTCTACTAAAAAGAGCCCAAAACAGTTTCAGGCCATGAAATGAAGGGGTTAAATGATCGTCTTCAGGTACAGCCTAATTTAAAGAACTAAAAACAAAGCTGCAATGATGATATACAGTTGAAAACTCTTCTGGTTGAGTAAAGTTGCAACAAGAATGTTTTAATGTTCCGTTTTACCTGGATAACTGAAGGGTCTTATCTATTTCTTCAAATTATTTTGCAATCTTTTCACCTTCGTATGTGGGAGTTAGGGCATAATATGTCTGGAGTATGCGCTTTTAAATGTGTTTTTTTATTGCATTTTCAGTGCTATGAACGCTTAAATAGGTACACTCACCTGTGCTTTAATAGTGAATCAAATATTATGACCCAGACATCCTGAAAACAGAAATGAAGAAACAAAAACTGTAAATTGAAAAGTACGTAGTTATATTTAAAAACATTCAACCTACCTGGAATAAACATCGTTGAGGGGTCGGCTTTTGTATGCTAGTATTTTAAAAAATCCAGACAAACAATCTACACGGCTAGTATGAACAGGAACAAGAATGGAGTAAATTCTGAATCGTGAAAGGATTGGTGTTGCCTCCGAAAAATCTCACATCCTCCTGATCTGACAAAATTAACAATAGTATAAAGAGATCCCTCGGTGCTCAGATAAAATATCAGTTTATTGTCCGCATGAAACAGCCACAGCCAAACATGCCTGGCCATTTAAACGCTGCGTTTACGCCATCAATCTGTTCGTCCATCTTCCCGAAGTCCAGTTCGTGATACTTGGTGGCCCCCTAGTAGGAGGAGGGGACCGGACCACGAAACTACTTGACGATGCTTGTCCAGCATTTTCCACAACAGAAGCAGGAAACAATAGATAGTGGGATGGTCGAGTTAAAGTTTTGGACAGGGGATCAAGATACCGCGCACCGGTTTCGTGTCATCAGAAAGTATGTTAACTATTCAATGACGTAACGGACACATGTCTGATTAGCGTAGAACCAAAAGTAATGTTGTAGCACATATCGAACCAATAAACGCAAAGCAGAAACACGAATTTTAATATTTAGCAGTTTGCACGTTATTGCCTTCCTTTTTATCTTTCTGTAAGAAAACAAAATTGGAAAAATCTGATTGAATAACGAAGTTATACTTCTTTAAAGTATTCAATAATGGCACGTTTTCAAGTGTGCAAAACACGCCTCCCTCCTTCAACAGTTAAAACAAAAATTATGATGATAAAGAAATAGGGAGCAAAGCGTTGCAAGCCGTTTATGGACGCAGTGACAGGGGGTGTTGTCACTAAAATGAGAGTGTGAACCGGCCATTGTCGCCACGTTGTCTTGGTATATCTATACTCCATTGTGGGAATGGTAAGGGAGTTCTGGCTTACAAAATATATTGGCAAGCAATGTTCGTGAACCGGTACATATTTCGGTTGGGAATCACGGATGTACTAGTATATCCTTTAGACGGACACGCCCTTCTTGATTTGTAAAATACAACAAAGAAGTAAGGAAAAACAAACGCACGGCGTTGCACTGCAGCGACGAGCAATGGGGGGATTGTACCGTCAGTTCTTTGTATTGGATGTTGTGCGCTGCTGATGTAACCTTCATTAAATTGGCGCACTCATTGCACATGCTACTGGACCAATTTTCCCCCCCTTGGAATTAAGTAAAATTCTTATTTTGTGGTTAGTTTTTAGTTTTCTTAATTTTGCATGACAGCAGGAAGAAATCTACAAGCTTGCATTGAAATATAGGGGCAGGGTGGGGGCTCTGATTGTTCATGTAAACGGGGGCACGTGGCCATGCATATGAGGGAAAGAAGGCCCCCATGTCTGACACGTGTGACGTCACTGCTGTGAGCTCAAGTATTATATAACCTCTCTGATTTAAAAACGCAGAACTTCCTGTCATACGGAGCTTTTTCTTTTTTGATAAGATATAATTGTTTTTAGTGGTGACATTCCTCTGAGTGTACGGTATGGATTGGACGTCCCTGTCAATACTGTGTAGTCATTTACGAAGCAGTACTCCGAAACTAACGTCCACCGATAGGACTGAGCCAAAAGATTGGAGAGAGATTCGAACCACGGTCAGCCGCTATAGCCCAGAATGATTTCAACCGAGCTAAAGACGTGACCACACGACTGTCGAATGGCGGTTTTCACTGATCAATCTGTTTTTCCCCTGTACGCTGTGGTCCTTCTACCCCCACCCCCTCCCCGATCGCTTATTTTCACTCACTGTCCATTGAATCAACAAGCGAGAATGGGCACAGCTTGACATGAGGATGGTCCAAAATGTTTACCCGAAACGATTTTTTTAAAAATCAATTATCAACGAACATTCCATTAGTGTACGATTCGTGGCAAAATAAAGATCCTACTTCGTAGCAATAGAAAACACATGTATTAAGAATAATAGTGTGACAAAGTGAAACCTTTTGAGAACATTCGTTGTAATATTTAAGGTAATGTTGGTACACTACAGAAGGACTACGTCTCACAGTTTACTTTCAAAGCTTTATACAAGGATTATGTAATAAACGTGACGTGTGGTGGCGTCGGTGACTTTGTGGTTAAGCTGTCAGACTCCCAACCGTCAGGGACCCAACGTTGTGTCCTTGGGAAAAGCCCTTTACATGAATGTTCCTTACTTTACCCCGGTGGGAATGGGTACCCAGCTATAGACTGTGAAAGATCTTGTCAGTTTGTAAGTGTTTGAGCGCATAATCGGCTGCTTGCACTGTATGTTTCCGGAGAAATTGAGGACGTTTCTGAGTGTTCTACGATCTGCTGGGGTAATAATTTAGTGTGTAAAGCGCATAGAGCTTGCTGTCGAGTGGAGATATGCGCTATGCTCATGCTATTTATTATTATCATAAAAGTTACTTAGGATTTCATTTTTATCCCGTCTATGCTGGAGACGAATGCCAGAAGATTGAGATTGTAACGCTCAGCGTATTGTTTCTCAGACAATAAGACTTTTCAATTCATACCAAGAGTTAGATTTTGAAACGTATAAAACATGTTTAATGTTTTGTAAGTTTAAACCGATGTTGCTTTATGGCTCTGGAATCTAGGGTACCAAGAAATGAGACGTGATTGACAATGTCCTGGTAATACTGTGGAAAGCGTTTCTGGGTCACGGCCAAGCTATACCCAAGTGTTTAGTTCTGAGAGAAGTGAGATGAACTAATGTATGTTTTGATGCATTGTGTCAATAATTTCTCGTGCAAACTTATGCACTTACAAAAGAGCAATTTTCCTAAGAAATGTTACATATATAACTATATCGTACCTGTGAATTAGGCAGAATCAACTGGGCTACTGAAATTACTAACCTGTTAATCTCCCTTTGATTTGTCTATGCCTGGTTTTCTCAAAGTGTTGGAAGCACTAAGTTATTTCTCAGTGAAGTAAAACGTTGGCCTGTTGATCATTGCATGCAGAAAAAAGAAGTGTGTCACAGGTACACTTTAATCTCTTATACAATTCCTTTTCCACAAAACAGCAGGGTGTGTCATGACCCCATACGCCACTGGAACTGGAGAGTTATACTATAGAATTTGCATGCTTTATGGGATGAGAGCCAGTAACCATGAACAACAAATGAAATATCTCCTCTCTTCCTCCCTCCCTACCTGCCTAGCTACCTACATACCTATTTTCCTACAAACAATTTAGCTGCAATCACTCGTAATCAAACTGTAGCCCTCGGTGAGCTTACAGGTTACATTACAAAACAGGAGGCTCACTCCACCCCCCCCCCCCCAAAAAAAAAGCTTCTTTCTACTAATTCTAATCAATATAAAGTTGTCAAAGAAAGATAAGCGAGCAACTTTTGTTCTTATTTTATTGGGAGTGTTGTTCTGCTGAGGTTTTTTTTTTCTTTCTTTCTTGTTTGTTTTTTAAATTTACAGTGTGCTCCCACCAAAACAACGGTGACCCAAAGACCCCAATACTTTTGGGTTGAGCGGTTGGAGATTTACTGAGAGTAACAAACGCTGAAAATCAGTTGGCCGTTTTTGCTTGTTTTCGGATTTCGGAGAACAAGACCTGCGGGGATATTTCGTGGATCGACAAAAACAAGGCATTGCTAGCAATAAAATAGATTTATGGCTGTCAAGATATCCATTATCTCTGTCAGCCACCAATGAATCTGGCATGCACAAAGATTAACTCTTTAAAAGTGGACACATAATATGTTCGATCAGCAGCAGACCAAAACCATGGTGTGGCACATTTCGAAAGATCATATATAAATCAGAATTCCAAATGTGTAATGTTTCTCAGGGTACATGTTGTTGTCAGTCTTTTTGGGTTGGGTTTCAGATAGACAAGAAGACGAAAAACATTCATGGAAAAATCTGCCTGAATCACGAAACTATGCTTGAAGTGCCCCCCCCCCCCCCCCCAAAAAAAAAGCACGTCTTCTCGCATTGACGAATAAAAGGAATTTGCATCTTCCAGGAGATAAAACTTTGAAGCTGCCCCGAGCATCTATTCTATTTGTATGAGACCACCAGAAGAAAGAAAGCAAGAAAAAATCCAGGGAAAAACAGACGAAATGACAAATGTAATTTTACCAGTCACTTTGACGAACGCGTGACAAATGTTATACCGGGTACTCTACTGTAAAGAGAAATGAGAAGCAGAAGAAGAAGAAGAAGAAGAAAAAGAAGAAGAAGAAGAAGAAGAAGAAGAAGAAGAAGAAGAAGAAGAAGAAGAAGAAGAAGAA